TAATTTATAAATCGATTGATCGGGGAAAGGGAGGGGGGAGGGGAGGAGGGTTGATATTGGTAATTATTTTTAAATATATTTTAAAATATATTTTTATATATATATATATAAAAAATATCGATGAAATGTTAAATTGGATAATTTAAATATTTGTTCGAAAGTTTGCAGGGATACGAATTTTAATTTATGAAATAAAAGTGGGAGTATTTAATATAAATTACCTCGCATAATAAAATTGTGTTAAAAAACAATTTGGTTTAATAATCTTTCGCTTTAATTGGTGTAATAAGAGCGAAACATAGTTACGAATATATCCTGTTCATCAGCTGCAATTCAAACTCGAATTTCTGAGAGCTTGTAAACCTCTTCCTACGCAGCCAGACTACCACACACGATCTAAATTATTAACGAAGTTTTTTCCCCCCATTTAATAGACGAATAGATGTATTGTCGTAACAAAAAATTAATTTCACCATGATATATTCCCTTTTACAATTTTATTTTCCAAATTATATGAAAAATTTGAGATTTGTTTATACGATTCGTTACTCGTTGATCGAACTATAATTGCGGGGAAAAAAAAATTCGAGTAACGAGAATGAAATGAAATAGAGGACGCGTAGACTATTCATTGGATCAATTGGGTAAATATTGACGATAAAGCCTGTGCGGCCATGTTTTTGTCAAAGAGGATTAAGATAATTCGAGCAGATTCGTTTTAAACTTCATCGTTCATAAATTCCTCTACATCTGTTGGCTTTATTGGTTATTGTCGTTACACGTCCTCCCCTTTAACCCTTGTGCTCCACGATTTAATACGTGGTATATGACAAAGTATCTTACTTACCACGGCAAACAACCACAGGTTTCTAATTGAATCACGAGCCTGACTCGTGTTTGTTAACTTCAACCTGTACGAAATTCGAGCAGGTGATTATTCCTGTTTCCCTCTTTCATCTAATATTTTATGATTATATTTATAAAGACAGAAACGTTGACGTTTACTCAATAAATATTTTTAAGAAATTTCCTTTTCCTTCTCTCTTCAGAGATTAATATTAATATCAAGAAATAAAAGGCTTCGTTTCATTCTGCGCAGAAACTTTGCGTTTAGGTTAGGTCAGGCGATAAATGAAAGAGATATTCGAAGATTGAAGACACTCGGATTGTGTTCACTTAACTGTTAGTCATAGCGATAACTTCGTTAATTCGAAACTGATGAATATTGAAAGGCTCGTTGGAGAGACACTAAACTCAGAAATTCAGAAACGCAAATATTTCATTGGCGATTGAAAAAAATATAATTTGTTCTCTAATTTTTCTCGATTGACGCCATAGAAGTTCGAATAATAGCAGGAATAATTGGATAAAATTATTTTTCTCCGGTTTTGAGTTTACATGGAGATCTAATTTTTAGAAAACAATATGCTTTTTATTATTTTACTAAAAATGTATATAATATAATAATCGAAATATAAAAAATATATAAATATACAAATATACAAATGTTTGTGATTTGAATCCTTAAGCAACTGCACAAAATATAGGCAATTAACTTAAAAAACGTTTCGTATTTGACAAACAGATACGATAAACTGGAGCTTGAGAATTGGAAATGGTATCCTAAAAATATGGATTTAAACAGTGATAATTTAATAAAATAACGATAAAAATAATAAAACTGAAAATTATAAAATGAAAAAAGCACTGTAAAAAGACATATTGCATACTGCTCAAAGATTGAAAGGAATAAAAAAATTGCCAACTAAAATTAGGAATATTATTATATATATATTATGATATAAGATATATTAAAATTAATCTATAAATATCAATGGCTAGATTAAAAGAATCTAAATAACGAGTGTTCTATCCGGCCATTAAAATTAATTTTAATATAGTTTTGCAAAGTTTTGCGAATCAAATATAGCAATGAAAAAAAGTAGAAAATTTCTACATTCCATTCTTATCTGGAAAATAATAAAAAATCATCGACGAATCGTTTCACAATTTCTAATACGAAGTAACAAAACAAAAAACTTATCGATAATTTATAAACGATTTAAATTAAAACAAACGTTTCGAGATAACGTTGTATCCGTTATAAAATTTCAAATGCTTCTTAATAAAATTTACAGAATATCTCTCAACGTATCGAAACGAATATCAATTCTTTGCCCATATATTTTCTTCAATCAATGTAAACCCGTTTAAAAAAAGGATTTAATAAAATTTTTAAACGCGATAATAAAACAAATTTCAACCACGAACTTCGAAAATGAATTCCAGCCACTCGACGGCGACCCTTTCCTCATCCGCGAAACAACTTGAACCCTCCTCTTCATCCTCCGTTCCATAGGAAATTTTTAAAAAATCGCGAAGCGATCTTTCACCCTTGTGCGACGTTCATGTCACGGGGGGTTAATTCGCGTACATAGAGAGAGATTAAACGACTCGGGTAAGGTAATCTTGACAAAAGCAATTTCCTTCGGCGCGCTGGCTGGCC